AAGGTGCCACATAAAAGGTTTGTAAAAAATTATATCTGTAGATGTGGGAGATAAGTTAGCTAAGTGGATAGAAGAGTGGCTGGATGGGAGAAAGCAGAGAGTTGTTATAAATGGAGTTCAGTCTTAGGACCTTTGCTCTTTTTGATTTACATCAATGGCACAGATGAAGAAATGGTTAATAAATTACTTGCCGATGATATTAAGGTCTTGGTAGCACAGTAGCTGTGAAGAGGATGCTGCTGCTTTACAAAAGGATTTAGATAATTTACTGAGTCAGGCAAATAAATGGCATATTGGTTATAATTATAATAAATGAAAGATAATGCATGTGGGTTATCATAATTTGAATTATATTTATAAGTATGATTTGGGTGGGAATAACCTTAACAATGTTATGAAAGAAAGGGATCTTAGTGTAGTGGTTGATCAGTCTAAAGCCATCCAAGTAGTGTGCAGTTGCTAGTGGTAGTGCAAATAGGATTTTAGGTTGTATCTATAGAAATATTGAATACAAGTCTAAAGAGATTATAATTTCATCGTATAGGTCACTGGTTAGGCCTCATTTGGACTGTTACAAGTTAAAACACTGTACAGTGTCACTTACGTTTTCTAGCTTCGGAAACTTTTTCTGCTGCTCTTTTTTCCGCGGCCAGAAGCTGTTGGATTCCTTGACTCTGACTTGCCATGATAGATATAACTTTTATAAATTCAAAACAATGAAATATTAAAATTAATTTATAACTTCAGACTAAATTCACTATTCTTTTAAAATCAATCGATTTAGACCGAATTCTTTCACAGCAGTCACCTGATCCCACAGCACTGCACGCCCTCACCAATTTCAAATTAAGTGTGGTTTGAAATTTATTATTTATTACAATATTTTTTAAAGACAAACACAAATAAATTTTATTGTTTGAATGTTTGGAGTAAGGTGACAGATTATATAAATTTCATTCTAAATAACAATTTGGACTAAACCATAAAAATAACGTTAAAGGGTAAGTTACAAAAATGAAAGTTCGCATATATACAACCAATTCACTTTGCACAATTTTTTTGAATACGACATTCTATGATATCGGGCACTTGATAATAAAACCTCTACAAAATATTAAGGATGACCAAAAGCGAAGTTCAGAATATGACAGATGCTCATTTTATTAACTCTTTGTAAAAAGTGATAGCAATCGATTTTGCAACATATTCACAGTGAGCTAACGGTATCTATTGTGTGAACAAGGCAGCGACTATCAAATGTGAAGTTTTCGCATGTACTTACCATAAATGTAGCTGCTTAGCAAACCTGGGATGTGCAAAAATGCTCTGCACCATTTTAATACTAATATAAAGTCTATCAGCATTAGTATCTTCATTATCAATATTTGTTTGTTTTTGAAAACGGTGAGAGCTAATTAATTTATTTTCAAATGATGGTCAAATATGTGTGCTTGGAGGCAAGCAGATATACAATTTAATTGTGACTGCGTTATGCCAGTTGTAAAGGATTATTTTTGAAAAGCCATGATGCAGCTGCACTCTTCTTACTGAGCGTTAAAACTATTCGTGAAGTATATGCACGTCATAGCTATCAAAATATTTTGTATGAACAAGTTATAAAATTCATGGAAAAGATTTTGCTCAGCAGCTCAATGTGCTATTGTAGTGGAATAATGCTATTTTCCATATATAACACGTATGAGTCATTCCTTACTTCAAAGTAACAATATTAGCGTTTTGAAATAACATACTGAAGGCCCAAATTTAACCCTTATAGAACACATTTTTGAAGGGATTAATTAAAAAGGTTATAGCACAAACATACTAAGTATAAATGTTACTGGCACACTGTTGCAATACTGAAAATGAAGGACAAACTGGAAAAAGTTCAAGAAACAATCCTGACCAACGATAAAACGTATACAAATATATTTATTGTCCTGATGAAGTATGGCCTTCTGTCCTGATATACATCAAACCTATAACGTTCCATATACAACACAAATTAACCCTCTCACACGCAATATAATACAATAAATAAAACATGTTATATATTTATAACCAATATTAATCACAAACACAAACAGATATGTTTTAATATTTTGATTTAGACGATTCATATATTATTTGCTAGATGGAATTTTGACATGACATAGTGATGATGTGTGACTCCTAAATATTTGTTTTGAAGTTAAGCACAAAGCTACACAATGGGCTGTCTGTGCTCTGCCCACCACGGGTATCAAAACGCGGTTTCTACCGTTGTAAGTCCGCAGACATACCGCTGTGCCACTGGGGGGCCCTAAATCTTTTACGACTGTATAGATTTAACATGGTCTGCACGTGATATTTCTAATTTTCTAGACACTTGGGAAACACAGTATAAAAAACCCAAGAGAGTTGTTGCTGATTACAGAGTTAGTATGTCACTTAATACATTAATTTATGCTGTAGATACAAGAGGAATTTTAACAAGTAAGAGACTGATTGATTTTAATTGTAAGTTAGGCCTATAGTGAGCTCATTGAGCGTGTAGAACTTGCGATAGAATAAATAAAACCCTTTTTTTCGTTAAGTGCACTGGATTTTGCCTTATTTTTTTACCGAATAATCAAATTGAACCCATTCAACCATATAAACCGTTATAATACTTGTCAGGAGTAGAATTACTTTGGTGAAAATAAAAAAAAAAACAGAAAGAGTTTCAAATTTAAGGTGGAGACATATATTTAAAGTGAATTCGCAAATATGCTGGAAATGATGAAATAGTGGACAAAGAACAAGAGACAGGATATTCAAAGAAAAACAAGACGAATGAAACAGAAAATTAAAAAAAGACTAAGGAGAAAATTATAGAAAATTAAAAGAGGATAAAGAGGTAAGAAATGGGAATTTAAGAGAGGAATTACAAAAAACAAAAAGAGGTGTAAGATTCAGAGAAGATTTAAGGGAACATAATGATTGAAGCCAAGATCGAATAAGTTATTGGAGATGTAGAGGGATTATAAAATCACATTTGAAGACGTAGAAATAAACATCTGTGAAATGAAAAAAAAAGAGATAAAATAACAATACTTATGAAGTTCAGAAAGATTATTACAGCAAAATCAATGAGACAGAAAAAAGCATCAATGACAAAATAAAACAATTGTGTGATGAATTTGCAATTTGAAAGACTAAACCAGCAATGTCTCTTTCTCTGCATCTGCCAGACAATATCAAGTTAAAACACTGTTAACTACGAAATATGTAACAGGAGAATTCATCTGGCCTACATCTGTTACTACTACTGCTGTGGTAACTATGACTTTGTACAATCCTTCATGGCTTACTAGTGCTATCTCACTACGTAATCCAATCCCAGAATTTAGCTGGTCAGATTAACAATATTGCCCAATTGATAAAACAACAGACTGTCATGGAAAGTTACCATATAAGATATATCAACTGCTTTATGAAATAGTTCCTAAAGTGAACAGACGGAACAGTGAACAACAAAGCTCTCACCTTGTTTTTTCATTTAAAAGAACCGTCCTTAATAACACTGAGCAATCTCCCAGCCGTAATAATTATTAAACATTGGTGGTTATCTTATCAAAGAGTTTTCGAGTGACACATCAGAAAAAAAGTTTCCAAACCAAAGTTAAGTAGCTGGGCAAGTAGGAATGATGAGACCTTATCTAAACTCACAAATATTTAGAGGCTTGCCCTATTATCTCAACTAAATGTCCAAATAAAATGATAGTTTTGTTGGCAGATGATCCATTCATAAATGTCATAGTGAATGAGGACGTGAATTATGTCAAAGCAAAGTAGGTGTGTATTATTAAGCAAATGTTTATGGGGTCGCTCCAATGGACTGACCTTTTATTGGAAAAGGAATTTTGACTATAATTCCGAATCCACTACGTGTACATACACGAAATGTGGTAAACTTTTAATAAAATTTACAAGTCTGTTGTACACAAAAAAGTTAGATGTTTTACAAAAGTATTTTTACTCAGATATGTCCATCAACTGATGATGTCAGTCAGAATCAGGTTCTGACAAGTCGGAGTGCAAGGCAATGTTCTTGTGAAGAATAAAAATACTTTTATTCATTGTAAAGTTTACAACTTGCATTTGATAACGTTAAAACCTCGAAAATGCATATCTACAATTTTTTCAGTATTCTTGTATATTGTGTCTGATATTTGCTCTCATCTACTACGAACTGTTGCTAAATCAGTAATTTAGGGTGAAATGAATAGTTGATATCTCTGACATGAAATACGTGATACCACGTTGAGTGGAATTTTGTAAAAGGTCTTGGCACCAGCACTTTGACTCATACCAGTGAACATAGGGTTAAAGAAAGATCTCTAGTTGAAAATGGAGCTCGGATCAATTAAAGTAGCAAATAAACAACTAAAGGCACGATTCAGGAATTACGGATTATCACACCAAGTAGTGTAGAAATAATAGCTCCTCTTAATAGAAGTTTAGAAGAGCTGAAAGAATTAACTAGATAATAGTTATTACTCAGAATGACAGACTGCATTACAGAATGTGTCTCTTATCTATTTGGTTTAGAACAAAACCACATTGCATTATCTACCACGGGGAATCGAACCCAAAAATTTAGCATTGTAAATCCGTAAACTTACCACTGTCCCACAAAGGGACAAAGGTGTTTCTATTGCAACTTAAAAGGTCTCGTTGTCAGAAATTGCAGAAAAAAGCTTTTAATCAGAGAGTTGTTTACTCGTGATGAAGGAAGTAAGCCACACAATAGATAAGTTTCAACTATAACTTAAAAGGGCATATTGCATAAAAACTGCTCCCAAAGGTTGACAGAAGAAGGAAACCGCTAAAAGTGTGAAAAACATGGGTATTAAATACAAGACTGTAATGATTCAGTGATTAATAATGAAAAAATGAGAAGATATATTGAGGTTGAGAACACCCTATCTGCTCCAGAAGAACGAAGGAGTATACTGATTTAAAGAAAACAGTCCAGAAGCCAAGGCTTATTGACGGGAAGTCTTGGAGTATGTTTATTGACATTTGTTCTATTAGTTGAGTGGCAGTATGCTACAAATGGTTCTATTTGTTGTGTTTAATGAACCTGAAAGGAAACGGCTGCATTTAGGCTCATTTGGAAGGAAAATTTCTCCTTTTTCCATATATGCCTGCTGTAGAACTGTGAAGTGATGCAAACATCGTCAAAATTTTGCTCAAAGTAACCCACCCTCAAATATCTGGTGAACACACAAAAAGACAGAGTTATCAATTATCTGAAATTATAAACAAGATAGGATATATATTTATAATCCACATGTTTTATTCTGATCCGAACGAATCCAGTTTCGACGTTCCAATAACATATTTCAACAAGACAAGACCATCCATGGATTGCAAACCCTTGTTTGAGTCCATTGTAGGTAGTCTAAATATATTTAAAAATTAATGTAAGACCTTTACATTTTAGGCCAAACACATGTACTATGAAAGAGATAATATATCATATAAAAATACCTAAAAAATTAAAAACTCTGTTGTGTCTAGAGTTTATTTTGCAAACTACCATATGTGACATTTCCATAATATTAAACATTTATTTACTAAAATTCTAATTAACATGCTTAACAAACTGATTGAGTGTTGGTATGGTGTGTGAATGTGATGCAAGCTTATGAAAAGTTCACAGTCTTTCAATACAATTTCTCCTTTTCTGTATGAAAGTAATAGAGCACACTAACCAATATAAACAAGTATGCTTTAATATATGTATATGGTATGACAGTTGTGCTTTAATGAAGATTACAAGATGATAGTACATGTACATCCGTCCCACG